TATTTTTATGAGAACTGTTTTCTCAATTATCTCGTGACTCAATTTCACATATTACTCGATTGAGGGAAGGCTAGATTAAGAATACATCAAAGTATAGTGCATTGACGTGGCTAACAAAGATAATCGCTGATGGGAGAACGAAGTGCATCGCGATCGCCATCGCGTGAATCTCTGCTGGAAGCTCCTACGAGAATCGGAAGGTGATAGATGGTCCGATATTATCTTAAGTGACGAAGTCACGCACGCAAGCGAGCATCCGGTCGGCGCAATGTCGCTGCCGTTGTTGTCATCGTAGCTGGCGGAGCTTACCGGAGGACGCTGGTTATCTCTTTGGGCTCTCGTTCGCGGAGGAGAGGCTAGGTCGCTTGTGAAAGAAGCGCTTAACGAACTGACGACGACATTATTGTTGTTGCCGGGACCCCGGACGGATTCGGCCGACTACCCGTTCCCTTTATCGGATGAAGCCAGAAGGCAAACCGTTCTTCTTCCTTTCTCTCTCTCTCTCTCTCTCTCTCTCTCTCTTTTTCCCTTCCTCCTTTAGCCCTTCCACCAACGATTTCCTTCATCCGTGTCCTCTCGCTCTCGTTTGCACGGAAAGAAAAATCGTACAAGCGAGGGAAAACGAAGAAGAAAAGAGAAAGAGACAGAGACGAAGGATTTCTCTCGATTTGACTCTAGGGGTAGGAGGAAGGGACTTTAATTAACTCGCCGCTATCTTTTTTGGTACGTGTTGGTATTTACGTGTATCAACGGCTTGAACTTTCAGTCGTCGTTCCGAGGCACTGGAAAAGTCTCATATCCCTCTCGTTTACGATTTTTCATCGATGTATACTCGACAGATTTCTCTCTGCGCTCTTGCCTGAATACATATTGCATACGTTTCTCATTATAAAGATACGAGATTGCGCGATTATATTCGCCAACATATTTTACGATCAATATTTCATGACATTAATGTGCCAATATACATAGCGCGCGTTTTTATATTCAACGATAATTATAATCAAATGCGACTTCGTAAAGTTAAACTTGCAAATATCGCAAATTGTTAAATCAACTTATGACTCTATTTCGTTGCGATCATCTCGTGTGCGTTTCGGGTTATTAATTTGCCATATACATAATTTCTTGTGAAATTTGTAAGAGAATATCTCGATACGATCATTGAAAATGTATTTGAGCACACGCATATACATATATGAATACACGTATTGCACGTGGTGGCAACACGAGCGTGACAATACTATCGTCGTCGAGGCCATCTTTCTCCTGGATTCATTAAAGACTTTTATCGGGAGAACACAGGAGCGTCTATGTACCAATTCACTTAACGTAACCAATCTAAAAATGCTCATCAGCAATTTAAAACGACGAGGGCTTCTGAAAGGACAGCTATGAAGGACGGGACGGAAGGGTGTAGTCGATGAGATGGTCGGAGAAGGACGAGAGGGAAAAGAGACTTTCGTGGCTCCTTCGAAACGAACGGAAGGGGCGGTCGGTGGTGAACCGCCTCTGCCGCGGTGGTGAAACGACTGTCTTCATGCGGCCAGGAATAGAATGAAGAGCAAAAGGAAGTACAGAAGGATCGCGTGAAATCTAACAAAATTCTTAACGCACTGTTTTAACATGTGACGCGTATTGAGATTCATTTTACGAATAATTTATCGCTCATTATTATGAGCAGAATTAATGTTCCGTTTTGTCCGCAGATTTAAGGAATAATATAGGGTTTATTTTGTAGTTTATAATATTAAATTGAAAGAAATTTTTTAAAGCAGATAAGAATGCTATTTTACAAAATAAATATAAAAATATTTTATTTATTAAACTTTGAAGGAATAATATTTGAGTAACTTAATATCCTAAAAATAATTAATAACGATATTAAAAATTTCATGAATAATATTAAAGAAATGTTTAAATATTGACAAAATTATATCTAGAAAAATGAAATTTATATAGTTTAGAAATTTCGTTCAAATCCTTGTTAATTTATGAAGAATGATATATAAAGAAGGAAAAACAGAAAGAGAGAAAATAAATGAGAATACTTGATTTATTTTACTCTATTAAATTTTCGCATTTGTTAGAAAATGATTGGCTTCAGGCCCGAAAGAAAACATCGTCCGCTCCTGCGAAAGACGGAAGCGTGAAAAGAGAAAGAGAGAAGGAGATCCATTTACGGAATGCTCATCGACCGTCGTGGGCTTTTTTCCGGATGTAGGGTGTATTCCGTCCTCCTCCCCCTCCGTAGCCGAACCGCCGAGTCGAGCGAGAAAAGGGGAAGGGGTGCTTTTCGAGAACGCGCGAAGGAGGATTACTCTGATTCGTTTTGGCTTGCAGATTTCGCCTTTTCCAACCGTCCCCCGTGCCCATCAGCGTTCGTACCGGTGATTCGCTACGCGCGATGGGGTGAGAATCTTGGAGGAACGGGGACGAGAGGAGATGAAAGCAGAATGGTTTTGCCGGCATTGCGATAACAGTGAATAAAATTCTTCGATCTCGAGGCTTTGAAAATAACGTACGTGGGCCACTTTGCCACGGTATTGAAGAAAGATTCGTCCGAATTCTCTCTGAGAAAATTTGCCTCTCATGGGAAAATCACTCGTTGCGAGGATCAGGACGCGTAAATTATTTTAAACGTTGTCGAGAACGGAAAATCTTGGATCTATAAATGTTGAACGAAACAAAAGCCGCGTCGCCCGAATGGCGGAATTAATAATTCCGTACGGACGAATTCATAAACAGGCACTCCGAAGCCGTAATCAAGACGCAAGTGTCATTCGTCACAGCGATAACAGGGAGATAAGGCCATTGTCGGGTCTGCGGTTATCGGTTTTTCCAAAGGGAAGAAGGGTGGGCAACGAGGTAATGCCTCCGCGCAGCCGTAAATCATGGTGTTTGCATAAAATATTAATAAGTGACACGAGTCAATCCGGGATTAGATACAAGGGAAGTTGCGAGAAGGGGGTCTCCTACGATATTCGCGCCCGCTACTTTATCTATCTCTATTTTATTTTGTTTGCGCTGGCTTTTCCCACACGAAGGGTCGACCCACCGCGTTCTCTCCTCCTCGTCGTTCGCGATACTCTCTTCGACAAATAGTAATAATGCGAATCGACACGTGACGTCCCGTTGTCGCTACAACGGTAAACACTACGCCTGAGGGAAGAGGGAGAGAGAGAGAGAAAGAGAGAGACCGAGGAAAACATAAGTTACTCTGCGAAAGATCAAAGGTAACCGTACCGTCTCCCGTCATTTTCTTGACAGATCTCGATCGTAGATCTCTCGATTTAAGATTTTCTTGAATTTTTTGGAGGCGAATTTCGAACAAATTAATTTAAGCTATATTCTTTAAAGTGAACAGCGGCGTGTTGCTACGAATTCTCTCGATCGAGAAGCGGCTTTCGCGATGACGCGTGTAGGATAATTGCAAACGGCTGTATCAGTGACCCACACTCCGTTCGACACGTGTCGCCCCGTGCGCTCGTTGTTCTTATCTGACGACTGCTTTAGAACGCGCCGAGAGACACTCTCGGTTGTATGTATTACTCGTAATAATATATTCTTATAACCTGGCGTATACATATATATACAGATCTCCCCTCTCAGATGGCGGATAAAGAGACGGAGAGGAAGCGAGAGAGAGAGAGAGAGAGAGAGAGAGCGTGCTGCTGCAGCAGCACACGCGTTTGTCAATGTTTGCCGGTGTCGACACCCACCTACTTATGCAAATCATTTAATTTAACCCCACCGCCGCGTATCCCGAGAGAGATCGTATCTCGAAACCTATTCGTATTCATTGCCTCGAAGCGGGGAACGCCACTGCTCGACCCACAGCAGCCATACGATCGCGTTTCTCTTGTCCCGATGCTGCTCTCGCCGACTTTATATCGACGTAAAGTCTTGTGCCACGCGTACGTTACGCGTTACCCGAAGAAATATCCGCGGAAATTGATGTATGTACCTCTACACCTATCTACCTGTCTTACCTTACCTATCTCTGATTCAACCGCGCGACCATAACGCGAACACATATATATACATCACGCCGGTTTACGACGCGTGAGGAGAGAGCCGCGTCGCGTTCCGCTTTTTATTACAATGTATATGTATCTCGTATTTGTTACGCAAGAGGCGTCCTCGGGTTAACGAAGGAAAATATTACCTCTATTTTATAACTTGGCCACGAGAAATCAAACTCGTACGTAATTACGTAATTAAATGCTAATTTATTGCTCATTTGTTGCTCTAAACTGCCCCAATTATATTGCTCCTACCAATTACCAAGAAACTGAAATTAAAATTAAAGATCCGAGTGCTGACTTAACATTTCCGTTTTCAAAACATTTGTAGGGAGTAAAAAAATGAATGTATTAGAATTAATTAATTATGAATTAATCGTTCAAAGTAAAAATTTCAAAAATATTAAATAAACTTGAAAGTTAATCGAAATTGATTGAAAAATGCTCATATCGCTTAAGAGTAAATTATGTTAATGCAATTAATTGTTCTTTCCTCCAATTTCTTAATTGCAAGTATAAAATGTTTAAAGAATGAATAATTTTTTATGTTGTTTATTTTTTACTTTTTTATTTTTATTAAGATGATTTCTAAATTTATTTTCGGAAAATATGATTTTTCAATGCTCGTAAAATAAGTTTTCAGTTATTTTTAAATTATTTTACAAGAGCAATATATTTGATATTAAAATAATAAATTAATAATAAAGAAAGCATTTTTTACAATTTTGAACAAAATTATATCGTACATTTGAATTTGATTTTTCGGTGAGAAAAGTTTATTGGATATTTATGAATATAGTGTCTGCAGACTTGATGATGTGCATATCTTAAAATTTATTTAAATGCAGTAATTATAAATTGACATACCTATTAAAAAATATATTATAAACAAGTAACAAGTCTGAAAAATAAGTAAATATGTAATAGTATGAAAAATTCCCACTTGCAACTATAAAAAAAATTAAAATTTTTCAGATGAGAATGGAAGAGGATGGACTTCGAAGCAGGATAAGGAGCAGGATGCGGTGAGTCCTCATTCAAATAAAATATTAACTAGTTAGTTCTTAATTTCGCATTATATATGTTGACGTTAAATCAAAATCAAATTTGTTAAAAGAAATTTCCAAATGTTAGATTTTGGAATTGAGCGAAAAGTAAGATTTTAATATCAATTCGCACATAGCTAAATATAGCTATGCAAGTAAATGCATAAGACATGCCTCATAAAATGAAAGAATGTGCAATTTAATGTCATTAATTTTATTCACTTCTAATAAATATATATATTTAAATTTAAATATTTAAAGTTGAATATTGCTGCTATTTCTTGAAGTACTGATATTAATATTTATAAAACGTCATATATAGAATATTTTAGTGTTCAACCTTATTCAAAAAATACGTAATGGATACGATGACATTGATAAAGCACATATTCGACATTATATTCTGTTTGTGTTTCAACTATAAAAAAATTCCATTAAAAATTCTATCATAAAAATGGTTTATTGTACTGTTAACAAAAATGCAATGAGACATGAAAAATAGTATCAAAAATTTTCTCGCGATGGAAAATTTGATCCGACAGGTAAAATTACGCGTCCTAATCAAATTTAAAAATTCTTTTCTCATTGAAAATAGACAAAACGTTCGAAAAAACGAGTGATTAAAGATAAAAAAAACGAGAAATAATTTGACAAATTGCATCCTCGTATTAATAAATAAATGGCAATTTTCGTTGAAAAAGAAGGGTCGAAATTAATACGTCGCATACGCACGCGAGAGCGCAAAAGCGATGTAGGTATATCGAATAAATGCGGTGATTGAACGTGCGGTAGCGAGCGATACGATTTCATTACCGCGGCGGCGAGTGGAAATCGGGAGTCAACGATTACGATTGGCCGGCGATCGTGTTCGGCGCGTCCAACGGCCGGCTCGTGAACATCATGGAATGACGTATCGGTCGTGCGGTCGTTTTAACCGTTTTAAACGGCCCGGCGGAAAACGAGTGTCGGCCAGCCACGCTGAAAGCCGTGTACACACACTCGTGACCGAAGACCGGACGGATGCTGCGAACGATATGATATCGATTCCAATCCGAGCCCCCGCTCAAGAGAGCTCGCGCGCGAGGGGCTTTGGCGGGACACTGCTGAATTAGTAGTATTGTTAATGCAGTAATCGAGTGCTTCATCGTTGGATGATTCCGGGGGTGCGGGGTGAAGTGTCACCGCCACGCCGGATGATGAGAGATGGTCGTGTGTAGGTGTGTGTGTGTGTGCATGTATGCATGTACCAGTGTGATACAACGTGTTATCATTCGGCTAGCGTGTATATTGATGTTGGATAGCAAAAATTTCGTCGCAGATGCGCTGATTGTTCCATCGATGGAAATTCGGCGGATATTAAACGCGAGTACGCGTTGATGAATTTTCCGACATGATATGATGACGTGTCGTGATTTGTACAAAGATTTAATGAGACGAGAATATTTATTTAATTTTTTTAAATTGAATCCTTTCATATATATTTTTTTTTTGTATTTAATTCTTTTACAAATTTCTCTCGTATTTATTAGTTAATTATTGTTTCGCTCGTATTTTAATCCAGGCGTTTTATTTCTTAAATTTTTATTATTCTTGGAGAATTTACTCCGAAAACGTTAATAAATGCATCGCTCTTTCTCTTTTTTTCTACAGGCGCGATAAAAATTTTTGTTTTAACGGGTGTACTCATAATTTGCGTCAGAGAACGAAATAGAAGCAAGAGGTCCATAAACGTTCGCGCGTGTATTCATGTAGACGACGTGCGCTCGCCGTTTGTCGCCACAGCCGACGTTCATTTGTTTTTCCCAACAAAATAAAAATAAAAACCGGCACAGTGTTCCTCTCCTCCCGCATACACACATTGGCGTGACTCGTGCCGACGACGAATGAAAGCAATTACAAAAGCCGGCGCAGCGCGATTTTTCCTCTATCAAAAAGATCATTCGACTCTGCGAATTGGAAGCGTCCTCCGGAAAAAAATAACCCGCGCTTTTCCGCGTTTATTTATAAATTTGACATCTGTCAAATTGTGAATATTTCTAACGATATATATGTTTACGATTCTCTCGTTAAAAATCGCCTGATAAAGTAGGACAGTCGCGCAAAATTTCAAGTCATTCCGCGATCCTCGACGATTCGCGACCTCGTCTCCCGAAGACGATTTGGCGCAGCGCGGCGTAATATACTGCCGGCTACAGTATGCGGAGAGCGAGCGAAATGTACAAACGGCCGCTCGTGTATTCATGTACCCGACGTGTACCCGCCGTTTGTCGTCACGGCCGACGTTCATTCGTTTTTCCGGGCCGAATGAAAAAGCCGGGCGGCGGCGCACGTAGCGATTTACGCACACAATCGCGCGCCGCCCGGTACGGCGTACGTGGGTGGCGTCGCGACGCGATGCGACGCGACGCGACGCGACGCGACGCGACGCCCGGCGTCGCGCGAGCGAGCGGGCGGCGTCGCGTCTAGCCCGTTTGTCAAAACTCTTTATTGCCGTCCTCCGGGCGCTGTATTCAAAGCGAGGACTCGAATGTACACCGGTCGGAAAAGTGCACCGCTTCAGTTTTATACATATATAAAACGCGCGGGCGGCTCGAGTTTTATGATTACCCGCGGCCGCGAGAAAATACGCGACAGGACATGGACGTCGACACGTCCATGTTTCGTCCACGCTACCCTCCCGTCCCTCCCCCCCCCTCTCCCGCTCACCCTCGGACCGACTCTCACCGACTCTTGGAACAGGCGCGAATCCGGCCGAGTTCGCCGGTCCCCGAAGAGATACGTGTCAAAAACGGCCGCGTGTTGCGAATGATTTTATTTTATTTTATTTTATTTTTTTTTTTTTTGCAACTCGCTCCGCGTTTCTCCCGATTTCCGTGTACGCTCCTCCCGGTTGGAAATTTACGCGCGAATCAAGGCAAGAGAACGCGATAATTCTGAAATCTCTCGTTATCTCTCGACGCAATGATATTTAATCATCAAATGCGAGCGATACAGCGCGAAACGTTGTATTTCCCGAGCGAAACTCGCCTTCCTCGTCGTGCTGTTCATTAGCACTGACGTTCAGGTTTTTGCCTGAATACAGAATATACCGTGTATACGTACGCGTATGCATTTCGCGAATATTTTCATGAATAAAAGCGCGAATAAGGATACGAGCACGAAGTATTAGCGGAATAAAATAGCCGTAATACCGACTATGTTGAACATACTCGGAGGTTGTGGTGAAATTTCGTTTCTATAACACTCTAGTGTTCGTGTGTGTGTGTGTGTGTATGTGTGTGAGAGAGAGAGAAAGAGAGTCGTAATAAATTTTCATTTTTTTCCACCTGGCTCTCTTGCCTCTGGGCAAGCGTCTAGTTATAACTTTACCGCAGTTAAATGTTTCAAATAATTAATGAACAATGTCTTTCGTATATAAAAAAAAGCTATCGAAGCACGACACTATAATCATTTGTACAAACCAAGTCTGGAGAGTTATATTTTTTGATTTTTCTGTTTGTTATATAAATTTCATTTTGAGTAAGATTATTCTTAGGGTCCATTAGTGGCGCAAAAGTAACGCAAATTAGCAGACAATACGATAAAAAGAGAGAAAATATTTTTACGGTACAAAAGACGAAGGAGGCTCGTGTAGGCCTAAGTGTTACCATTCCATAATAAAATGGTTCCTTTGTTCTCTCTCTCTTTCTCTCCCTCTCTCTCTTCCTCTCTTGTGCAAGTACATATAACTTTTGTGACAAGGAAATCCTGCACGCCCCTTGGGCGCTCCCGCGTGTTCGTTGTGTACATAATACATATGTATGCATTGAAAGGATTTGGACAAGAACTCGTGTGTCCTTTCAGGGAAAGGGGAACGTCTGGATCTTGAATAGCAGAACGGGAAAGTAGACTGACACCTCCAAAGTCGCCAAGCATGACGTGTCTTCGAATCTAAAGACACGTCGGTTCGAATCGTTTTCGCTGATATCGCGATAGTGACAAATTCAATTTAAGACAGCGCGATAAAACCTGTAAATTTCTCAATTTATATATTTATTCTACTACATATTTGTATGCACAAAATAATACGTATACACGGAATAAATATACACACGAAGCGCTTTTCACAGCCATCCTCGCGTTTAACGACTCGTAGTTCCTCCGATACGGGAATTGCCAATTTCTTGATCCAATTCATCCCATTCGCCGTGCCACATGTGGCATTATAATTTCAACGAGATATCGTGGGAGAGAGTTGAAAGCTGTAAAGGAAGACAATCACACAACAGTCGAGACACGGCATCGACGTCCGATTGTATAACGCCTGTTACGACACGCGCTGCGACACCGAAAGTCCATGCAGCGAGGACGCTTAGCCGAATGAATACACGATGTGCATTCTCTGCCGCGCACAGGGGTCGGCGTACACAATGGGCATAAAATCCGAAAAAGGGGGAGACTGCGGATAATTGGCTGGAGCCGTTTGCATAGCGTCAAATCGCGAGGTCAATCCGCTCGCATTGCGAACTCGTCCCTCTCCCCCTCGTCGCCCTTCTTTCCTTCCTTTTCTCACTCCCGCGTCCACGCGCTTTTCAGCGGTCCCATCGGGCAAAGGGGATGAAAATCGAGATATCCAGCCAGATATATACACATATATAGATAACGCGGTCATTCGCGCCCGCGTCTCCGCATCTCGCTGCACGATTGTACACGTGCTTTTGTGTACACACGCTTGGCGAAAAGCCATTTTTTTTTTCTTTCGGGGAGGGAAAAAGTGAGCGAGCCCCCGATCGGGCCGGTCATTGTTAGATTTTATTCGAACGTATATCGGGATTTACCTGGGCTCCGACTCGCACAATGCGGGACAGAAAATAGAATTTCGATTACGATCTCGCGCATAACAGGACGAGTCTCTCTCTCTCTCGCGATATATATTCGCGCGTGCAATGCCGATAAGGTCGCGCGACATGCAGTTTCGCGCGGGCGAGATTCCGAAGGCG